GTCCTCTTTTGGAAGACCAAACAAAGTAGTTTCGCTTTCACAACGAAGCACACAGCGCCTTCACGACATGGAAGCAGCGGCGGCGGCAACAATACTACAGCGAGAATAAAAGTTACGTCTTCTTTCTTTGTGTGAACATTTGGTCGGCGTTATGCAAATCTTCCCACATCGTGACGTAGACATGTGGGGTGTGTTAGAACGAGCCGTTTTAGGTAGGTGTGGCTGACTCTTAACTTTTATAAAGAATATCTCTTTGGATTTGAGACTTTAGTCTTTGCAACTTTACAGATCTTCTTTATGCACCAAGAGCTTGTAACACTCCAAAGAGAAAGGAAAAATTTAAATCGCATCATATGACCCCTTTAATATATTGCAGTACTCATTAGATGGAATGGATTGGTTCTGGTTTTTGACACTTTGGGCATTTTTTTGGGCTGTTTGGAGTTCTCAGGAATCCCCACGCTATCCAACGCTACAATACAGCCAGGAATTGCTGCTCCAATTGCGGGGGAATTATCCGAGGACTGTGGCGAACTGTAGTACAGACTTGCAAGGAAATACAAGGTATGAAAATTTGGATTTTAATATCAAGGTGAGGAAGAGGGAGAAATGCGGTGGAATACGACTCAAGGTAAAAAAGTTGGGGTTCAAGCGTATCCCACTGCCCAGCATAATCCTCGCGAATGTGCAATCCTTACGAAGTAAAATAAATGAACTGCAAGCAAATGTGCGCCATCTACGGGAGTACAGAGAAGCTTGTATGATTGCACTAACAGAGACCTGGTTAAATGGGAATGATTGTGACACTGAACTGTCTTTGGATGGTTTTGGAGCACCTCTACGGCTGGACCGTGACCCTTCAGTCACAGGGAAGTCTCGAGGAGGAGGTGTCTGTCTGTACATGAACAATCGATGGGCAAAGACAGTGATTGTACGTGAGGAAATGTGCACCGCAGATATAGAACTATTGACTGTATCTATCCGGCCTTTCTATTTGCCAAGAGAATTTCAGCAACTTTTTATTTCAGTGGTATACATTCATCCGAAGTCTGATGTTCAGAAGGCAACGGAGATAATCAGTCAACACGCCATCATAAAACACTTGATCTATGTTATGGGTCAATACCAGATGCATATAGATCCTTCCCATTGGTTGTGCGGACCATAATGCAGTCTCTTTGCAACCATGTTATAAATCAGTGTTGCAGAGAGCAAGGCCAGTTATTAGGTCATCTCAAAGATGGACTGATGAGAACATCTTACAATTACAAGATTGCTTTGATCGCACCGAATGGGACATGTTTAAATCTTCTTGTGTAGACAATGATGAGTTAGCTGATGTTGTGAGTTCTTATATTCACTTCTGTGAAGAGTCTAGGAAATATGTAAAAATGTATTCAAATAATAAGCCTTGGGTGACAAAATCATTGAAATATGTTTTAAATAAGAAGAAACGTTTTTTTTTTTATCAAGGCACAGATTTGGAAAAGTGTCAGGTAAATAAGGAAGTAAAACAAGAAATTAGGAGGGCAAAAAGGAAATATAAGGCATCAGTGGAGGAGAAGTTTATTAAGGGAAATATTCAGTCAGCATGGAAAGGAATTAAAGAAATGGCTGGTGCAAAAAATAAAGAACAAATAGAAATTACCTTGACAAAGTCTTTGACAGAAAATGGAGAGATAGCAAATTAATTTAATGACTTTTTTAGGAGATTTTTTAGGATTTTTATTCTAATTTAAAAACAGAGGAATATAAACAGATTGATAAAGCCTTTGTTTTGAGAGTTTTGCAAACCACCCAACAAAATAAAAGTCCTGGGCCTGATAAAGTGAGTGGGAGAGTTTTGAGGAGTTGTGCTTATCAGCACTGTGATATCAGTCATTTTATTTTTCAGACCTCGTTGAAATTACAGAGAGTACCTGCAGTGTGGAAAAAATTTTATTTATAGATTTTGCATCCGCATTTAATGCTATTTAACCACTTCTTTTAGCTGAATGTTTGTTGTCTGAATTTGATGTTCCTAAGGGCTTGGTGGCCTGGATTTGAGATTTTCTGACCAGAAGATCTCAAATAGTACGTGTAAATGGAGAATATTCCCAGGAGCTTTATTCCTCAGTGGGTAGCCCCCAAGGTTGTATTCTCTCACCTCTTTTATTTATTTTATATACGGATAGGTGCAGAAGTCAATATCCAGGCAGACACATTATAAAATATGCCGACGATACAGTGGTGCTAAGCCTGTTAAAACAGGGTGATACGGAGCATGGGCCCATTCTGAACTATTTTTTGGATTGGTGTGAGAGTTCTTATTTACAAATTAATGTTTCCAAGACTAAAGACATGACGATAGAATTTTATAACTCTGTTGATATCCAATCTAAAATAGTTATTGCAGGTAAAGAAGTTGAGAAGGTCAACTCATACAAGTACTTGGGTACAGTTATTGACGATAAGCTAAGCTGGGTGGAAAACACAAACCTTGTTGTATCAAAGGTGTAAAGTGAGTGGGAGAGTTTTGAGGAGTTGTGCTTATCAGCACTGTGATATCAGTCATTTTATTTTTCAGACCTCGTTGAAATTACAGAGAGTACCTGCAGTGTGGAAAAAATTTTATTTATAGATTTTGCATCCGCATTTAATGCTATTTAACCACTTCTTTTAGCTGAATGTTTGTTGTCTGAATTTGATGTTCCTAAGGGCTTGGTGGCCTGGATTTTAGATTTTCTGACCAGAAGATCTCAAATAGTACGTGTAAATGGAGAATATTCCCAGGAGCTTTATTCCTCAGTGGGTTGCCCCCAAGGTTGTATTCTCTCACCTCTTTTATTTATTTTATATACGGATAGGTGCAGAAGTCAATATCCAGGCAGACACATTATAAAATATGCCGACGATACAGTGGTGCTAAGCCTGTTAAAACAGGGTGATACGGAGCATGGGCCCATTCTGAACTATTTTTTGGATTGGTGTGAGAGTTCTTATTTACAAATTAATGTTTCCAAGACTAAAGACATGACGATATAATTCTATAACTCTGTTGATATCCAATCTAAAATAGTTATTGCAGGTAAAGAAGTTGAGAAGGTCAACTCATACAAGTACTTGGGTACAGTTATTGACGATAAGCTAAGCTGGGTGGAAAACACAAACCTTGTTGTATCAAAGACACAAAAACAGTTATATTTACTGAGGAAGCTTAAGTGCTTTTATGTGGATAAATCTATTTTGATAATGTTTTATAGATCTTTTATTGAAACTGTCTTGACTTTTGCTATGATTTGTTGGTTTTATGGACTAAATGTTAAAAGTAGATCCCAGATGCAGAGAATTGTTAATCTGGGGTCAAAGATTACAGGCTCGGTACAGTTGGGGGTATCTGCTTTGTGTGAGAATAATGTCCTTAGGACGTCTTTGACTATCTTAGATGTTACATCTCACATTTTGTACTCAAAGTTTGAACTTCTCCCCTTGGGCAGACGATATAGAGTGCCCAAGTGGAGGACTGTTAGAGCTTCTAGATCTTTTGTTTCAAATGCAGTCTTGATTGTAAACAATTATTTGAAACATAAAGATAAAGGTGTACTATGAATTTTAACATTATTTTAGTATATGACAAATGGTGCACTGTTAATGCCCGGGTTTTTGTTTGTTTTTTGTTGTTGTGGTCGTTCATTCATTCTAGCAGTTTTGTCATGATGTCTTATAAACTTTTGTCAGTCGAACCGTACCGAAACCGCGACTCTAAAACCGTGATACAAACCGAACCGTGAGTAAGTTGAACCGTTCCACCCCTATCTCTTACTGATGTGCAGCACAGTAAACACAATGGAGAATACTTTGAGCTCTCGTGCTGTCTCTGTTGAATGCATGTGTTGTGTTTTGTTTTGTGCAGGTTGTGTCTTGCGTACGGAGGCTCGGATGTGACGCGATGTTTTTTCTGGCTCATGCAGAGAGCCGGATTTCCCTTTAGAGAATGTCAACTTGGCAGCAAACTGGACTGTATTTTACTGCAGCAGCTCAAAGAGTCCTTCTGCCATCTGGATCAGGTGATTCAGCCTTTTGTCAATATTCACTAGGTGTCACTTTGCTCTTAAATGGCTTAAAAGTGCTGTATTTAATGCAAGAAGTAAAATACAGCCACATGTGAATGTTGTTATACTACAGTGAAACATAACCACAAGTCGATCCCAAAACTAGTTCAGTTAGTGAAAAAAAACAAACAAACGTGAAATTGAGTCTTGTATAAATATGTCATTTTTTATATATGTCTGTGTGTTCAGTATTTACGTCATATTATATTATATGCATATCATGCTTTGTAATCTGATGTATTGTTGATTTCTGTGCAGGATATTTCTGGGCTGCAGGATCACGAGTTTCGCACATGTTTCCCTGATTCCCCAGTGCTGTTGTATCAGCTACGATTAGGAGATGAGAAACTCCAGGTGGAGACGGACCGGATCTTGTGCCATTAGTGTTGGTTTAGCACTTGTCTGCTAATTGGCATCTGCATTGTTCTGTTTGTTTGATAGGCTCCCATGGCATTATTCTACCCTGCTGCGTTTGGGATAGTGGGGCAGAAGATGACATCGCTGCTGCATCGCTCTCAAGGAGACGCAGAGGATGCACATGATGAGCACTTCCTCCTGACCACACAGAGCAAACAAGACCAGGTACAACTCTCTACAGTAACCTAGATTTCAGCTGATTGTGAGATTTCTGATTTGCCTGTGTTAAGAGGAAATCATTGGGTGGTGCAGAAGCACAATACTTACACGGCATGTCATTGCATTGCGCTGTTTCCCCACACTAATGCACAACAGCAAACATTCAGCCACTGCAGTCTGATTCATGTATGAACCAGTTCTGTTTCACCCCAGAGAGTCTAGGCCAGGGTTGTCCAAACTCGGTCCTGGAGGGCCGGTGTCCTGCAGAGTTCAGCTCCAGCTCGCCTCAACACACCTGTCTGGAAGTGTCTAGTGTGCCTAGTAAGGGCTTGATTAGCTGGTTCAGGTGTGTTTATTAGGGTTGGAGCTGAACTCTGCAGGAGTTTGGAGACCCCTGATCAAGAGGATGTATCTGTCAGGCAGTTTACAACATTAGAGGATCGTCTGACAGACATTAATATAGTAATTATACTCAACAGTGCTAAAATAATCTGTAAAAATACAGAATTGTTAAGCATGATCAGCTGCAGAATCATTAAAGGAATAGTTCACTCAAAAATGAAAATTTGATGAAAATTTTCTCTAGCCTTTAATCTGCCTTCAGGTGGATGAGTTTGTTCATGGGAACAGATCTAGAGAAATTAGGGGTGTAACGGTACACTTATTCGTACCGAACATTTTTTTCCTCGGTCTTTCGGTTCGGTATGCATGTGTACGAACAAATACAGCATTGTTTTAACCACTGCACGAGTGGAACTTCATTGGATACTTCCAGTTTTATATGTTGTTACTTTTGATAAGAAACAATCTTCTCAATCTTAATTGTCCTTTTTTTTTTTAGGAAATTCAAACAATAAATGCCGTTTTGACGCTATTTGATGTGACGTGACAGATCGCTGTATAAACGCCTCAGTTCAAACGATCATCTCTTCCTCTTTACTACTAGTTATAACACAAAATAAACATGAATGAAAATCTCGCGCCTTATGTAATCGCTTAATCAATGTTTCAACCACAGAAAGACGGCAATAAAACAGCTTGTAAACAAAACGTCGCGTAGCATTTCATTTACCTCAGGAAGTCATCAGTGTCCACAGCTCGTTAGTGCGCGATAAATGAAGTCTAGAGAAGTGCATTTCACAAAATATTAGACTGTTATTTACCTGTTAGTGATGTCTTAATTATTTAATGTTTAAATGAATCTGTTATGAAATGAGTTATGAGAGGCACTGTGTCAATGAATATATTTCAACAACAAATAAAATGTTTATAATTTAGAAGTTAATTTAAAAACTGCATTATGTGCAATTTCTATGTTTACATAATTTTTTTTAAGTTGAGTGTTGATTATTATATTTAAAAATAATTAGTAATTAAATTTAAATTTGGGGTCTGTTGTTAACTGTAACCTTAAAGGGGTCATATGATGCGATTTCAAGTTTTCCTTTCTCTTTGGAGTGTTACAAGCTGATTGTGAATAGATAAGATCCCTGAAGTTGCAAAGACTAAAGTCTCAAAACCAAAGAGATATTCTTTATCAAAGTTAAGACTCTGCCACGCCCCCCTAAAACGGCTCGTTCTAACACGCCCCCACATATCTACCTCACTATGTGGAAATATTAGCATAATGCCGCCCAAATGTTCACGCAAAGAAAGAAGGCATGGTTTCAGTAACCGCAGTTAGTGTTGAAGCAGCCATGTCAGGGAGACGCGGTGTGTTTCAAGGCGAAAGCAAAAGCACTTTATTTGGCCTTCC